GCACATTTGGAAGAGATGGAATAACAAATTTACTCAACAAACATTTATGGGGGGATCCCCATGGTACAATACAGGCTAGACACCAGCATCAGTTTGCGAATAATGCGTGAGCTGGAATTATAGGTGACTGTCTGATAGGTCCATATGTTCTCTCAGCATGTTTTACAGGAGTTGTCTACAGGGACTTTATTTCGAACACACTTCCAGACCTGTTAGAGGATGTATCTCTGCTAATACGAAGGCGTATGTGGTTTATGCATGATAGGGTTCCAGCACATTTTAGTCACATTGTTCGCGATGAACAGGCTGACATACATAGTGAACAAAACTTATCACCTATCTTATATTTATAACATTTATTTTAATATTTCCCATTTCAAGATGGGATCATTGTTATCTTCTTGTTTAATCTTCCATATATATGTGGACAGGGTAGTACTATGTTTATAGGTTTCGTTATTGAAACTACTCTGGGTGGATCCTATGTAAACTTTAGGGTTCTTATCAGTATTATTAAATTTATTTCTATGTATTTTGACTTGGTAGACCACGCACTCTTTTTGGCACCTGCCCTTGAGAGGACAGGCGTCCTTATTTCTACAGTTACACCTAGGGGTACTGGTGTGTGGTTTGTCTTTGATTTTTTTTTCCTATTGTACTTACTAATTAAGTTAGTCATGTTAGGCATACAACTGTAACTTAGTTTAACGTAGTTTTTCTTGAAAATTTTATGTAATATATTTATCTGTAGGAAGTTCTTTTTAAGTCATTTGAAAAATATTTTACCTATTTTTGTTTTAACCGCTAAATTATAGGGGCGGGGGGTTAAACCATAATATTTTTCTAGTTTTTGTTTTTGTGTTTGCTTTGTATTTTTGGGGAATTATTCGTGCGGATATATGTTAATTTACTTATATGTCCATTACTCTTTAAAGCTTTTTCATAAATTTGTTTATTTTTATTAAAGATGTTATTATCCGATGAGTTAATGAACAATCTATGGCTAATTCCTTTAGGTATTTGTTTTAAAATATGTTTAGGGTGATTAGAACCTACGTCAATATAACTTGGTTATTTTTTCTATATGGTGAAACTGTACCATTACGTAGGTCTAGTGTAACGTCTAAATAGTGAGTGACTTTCAAATTAATTTGTATATCCAGTTTGAATCTGAATTTCTTAAATAGCCATTTATCTATTATGATTAACCCATCGTCCCTGTACAGACTATGGTTACTCGGATCAATATACTTATTTAAACCATTTAGTAGGAGGCACCCTACTAATTCACATTACCTCTGTTCCGTCATATGTCTCTATTGGGTTGTCAAAATTATCGTTATCTTCTTTTTTAATCCATAATACACCGTTATGGTATAATAGTGACTTACGACAATGTTTAATGAGGTTAATTTTATCATTTGATATCGACATATACTTCTTGGCTAACCCCAAAGCTTCGTTAATTATTTTTTTTCCGTAATGGATGGATAAAATTCTTTTATATCATATTTTACAAAAGAACATTCGTTATTTTTATCATAACTTTTGAACCATTCTATACAATCACGAGTAGAGCGCAATTGGTTAATATTTAAAAATGTTCTACATATATCTTGTAGTATTACTTTGCTAATTTTACCCATCTGTGTTTTAATAGGGTTGATTAGTCGGTATTCAGGGTTATTTAGGAAATCATCTTTATCGTCCTTAAATGTTTTTTTTGTCTCGTTATAAGCTTATCAATAAAGTAACATACCCTTTTTGTTTGTTTCTTTTTTTTTTGTCACGTGGTTATGGTTTTATTTGGGTTTTATCAATAAATACTGTTCCGTTATTTTCCTTTTTAGACAGTTTTACCCTGAAGATCCGTTTAAGTGAAACCTAGGTAGGTTTGCCTACACTCCTTAGGATTATTCTAGATTATCGCTCTACTTAGCGTATTGAGCACTCTACGTTTAGTCTTTCTACTCGTTTGGGATATTTTTCTTTGGACTTGGAGCTTACGCACTTGACGATTGGTTTCATATTGTATTAAAGTTCTTGGTTCATTCTTTTTTTATTTCCAATTTTTTCCTCGGGTACCGATTTGTTCTATTACAAGTTGGGCTATCCGAGGTTATCCGATTATTTTCCAAATATATATTATTATATATATATATATATATATATATATATATATTATGGACTCTCCCGTCGGTTTCGACGTATGAGGCTCCGACAACTCTGTTTATTTAACCTTGTGTGTGAGTCGCAAGTGACATTTCAGTCCTGCTAGTGATTTGCAAAGAAGTCCACAGATTGTGCAAGAGTGTGGATTCTTGGAGTATATGGCTGGAACAGCAGCAGATATTTTATTCCTTTCGCTAGTTTGAAGAAGTTTGACAATGTCTGATGCTGCCTTGTTTATGATGATATTGTAGCATGTAATCTTCCATTCATTACGATCAATTACGATGTTCTCAAAGGTAGTGTGATTTATATTCGCAGCTAAGAGGTTACTTTTCAGCCTGTCACTGTACCTAAGCAAAGGCCGATCCACGTTTCGATGACCATTGTTAAGTTGACCATACATGAGCATTTTTGGAATTCTGTTGTCTTGCATACGTAACATATCCACCAGTCCACACACACACACACACACACACACACACACACACACATACACACATATATATATATATATATATATATATATATATATATATATATATAAAAAAAAGGCTTAAACACTAATATTCCATGGTCATAATTTATTCCATTGGAATCGTAAATTGAGTTCTACCTGGTCATATGTATGTATATTTTCCACTAATATTATCAATATATATATATATATATATATATATGTGTGTGTGTGTGTGTGTGTGTGTGTGTGTGTGTGTGTGTGTGTGCGTGTAAATGTAGATCAATATTATTTTACTGGTCATTCATATGTTACTTAGCTTTTCAAAGTTGTGTCTATTGGTACATAGCCAAACAAGTTTAATAGTTGTCAACTACTAATTATGTTTAAATCCATGTTATGCCATGTGATATTAACAGCCTGCCAAAGAACATTTTCAAGGAAACATATACTTGTAGACCTCACCTCCACATTTCAAATTAAAGCATGCAATCAAAAACCAAAACAAAAGTGTTGCGAACTGTTCCAGTAAGTCACAGATGGTAGATCGTAGGACAATATATAAAGACATTATTCTCCCGTCCGTCAAAACCAGGATTAGAATCTCACCATCATCGTTGGCATAACACGAGTTGACCCAAACTTTGTGAGTGAAATTGGAAGGATAAAGACGTCAGCAAGCCGTCGTTGGTTGTGTTGATAGTGGTGATCGCGCCAGATTATGCACTATTCATTTAGCATAATTGAACTAAAAACCAGAAGTGTGCTTTGCGGGTGTTAAACGTGCTTGAGCAGACATGTGCAACAGCAATTAGTTAGCAACCTTAGCAAACACGCATAGTAGGAAACGAGCAACCAGCCAAACTATATAAAGGAATGTACTTGGATGATTCTTAGTCCAGCTAGAACTCCAACGTGGTTAAATTAAGAATAATTTACTGGAACCCCAGAGGGGTCTCTCCATCAAGCAGTACCTCTCTTTTGGGAGAGGGCAAAAATTCATCCTTAGCGCTTAAAGCATCCCCAATGCTCGAGGTTGCTTTTGGTCACCATTTCGTAGCTGGAGCGGTCACGACTTTAGGATAGATATTTTCAAAGTAAATGGATTCGACATTTTCTATAAATTTCAACACCTTGAAGAATTTTATACACTAGATTTGTTTTGCAACATGATGACGCCTGTTAAAATCCTCACAGTATTTAATTCTGATGAAGTTATCACTAACATTTTTGTTGAGATTTACAAACTCTATGTCTTGTTCAATTCAACAAACCAATCGATAAAATTTGAATAGGACGATTTGCTTGCATTGCAAAAATACTTTGACAGAAAACCTACTTCGCAGTTTAATAACTTCTTTAATTTAATTTTATGGTAAATAATGTTTTTTAAGAAAATTTTTCCTTTTTACCAGCGAAGAATAAATTCTTAGTTCTTACTCTTGAGTATACAACATACAACTGGCCATGCGTAAATATCTCTTTCTGGAGTCAAATTCCAACTTTTTGAAGCGTTTGGCCTTGTGATTTGTTTATAGTTCTCGCAAATGCAGGGCGAACTGGAAACATGATTTTTGTATATAAAAACTTAAAGATATACAAAGAAAAATGTTGCATTTTTATTAAATAAGTATTTGTTATTTTAATCATTATATTGTTTTTAAAATAGTGGGAGTAATTTTTATGCTAAATAATAAAACCTTTAATTTTTCAAAAAGTTAATGAAAATGTATTTTACTAAGCTACGTAGCCCACTAAAAATAAATGTACTTTGTACCCCATTACTTGTTTGCACTTCCCCCAAAACCTAGTTTCGATCGGTCAATATATGGCTATTTTAGAGGGTGTGACGGACGGACGGACTAACAGAAGTCACAGAATTTTATATATAGATATATTTTTTCTATAAAGAATAACAGTTCAAGAATAGAGAAAAGATACATGTGCGTACACGATGAAAAAGAAGGAAAAAATTGTGTGTGTGTATGATGCACCACATGGCTGGTTGAAATTAAGAAAACTGCCTGACGGAGGAAGAAATCTCCTCCAAAATAGAGAAGTCCCGTTGTTTTCGCTGATACATTCCGGAACAAAAAAAGAAAATGAGTGTTTATGGTGCCGTCCTTTTATAGTTCTAAACAGCGCCATCTAGCGAGTATCTTGGAGAACAAGGTGGAAGGATGTAATTCCCACGAAGGTTTGGACATTCAAATATCGTTTCAAATAAAAATCTAAAATTACGATTTCGAAAGCAAACGAGTATATAAAAAGAAATCAACATTTCCCCATATTTAGGGTTATTTTTCACTTTGATGTTTCCATTTCCTGTTGTTTTACCCGCCAAAAATACGCACAAAATGACGGACAGACATACCAATGCAAATGACAATGACATGGAAGAAATGGCAAAGAGAGAAAAGCTGGAAATATTTATAGCGTTCACAGTGTGGGTTTCCTTTTGCCAGTGTATTGACAGACGTAACATGACTTTTCATAGCTCACTATAGTTAAACATTAAATTTCCTTAGAATCGGTAATCGATAGAGATATAACGATTCGCTTATTGATTTTTTTCACTTTAATGAACACGATTGTCATTGGGAATCAACATCAGCTTCGCATTAGTCGCTTATTTCTGCTGAAAGTAGAATATTTTATAAAATCATACTTTTCCGTTTTACTCATAACATTGCGTCTAAATTTGCGCACTTTGGCGTGGCGTAATGGTTAGCAGGTTTGTCTTGCTGGATCGCGTCGGACGATAAACTCCATCTGGCAGCGAGGCTTCAAGATCGGAAAATTGGAAGTTTTGAGGAGCGTGGAACCTCTTAATTTCTGTTGTTCCCAGGTCCACCCTGACCCGGGGTGCTAACACCTGTTAGGGATCCAGCTATGGGCAAATATTTAACCCCTAAAACTGGCGTCAAACACTATGAAAATATAAAATACATTTTTATAGTGAAAAATGCCAGCGATGTATTTTCATAGTAAATAAAAAATAAAAATAACCAGCAATAAATTTTTTGTAAAAAAATAACAGTAATACATTTTTGTAATTAAAATTACTAATGCTTCCGAAAAAATTAAATTTCGGCATTAAATGATCCATAAAGAGTTGATATCCTGCTAAACAAAAACAAAAAAAAAGAAACAAACAATCTTGCTGGATCAATTTAGACTGAGTAGTGAGTTCGATTCTCATTAGGAGCTCCATACTTTCGGCCTTGTATCACGTCTAAGCTATGTTTAGAAAAGTGCAATTTGACGTGGTGTAATGGTTAGCAAGCTTGTTTTTCTGAATCAATTACGACTGAATAGTGAATTCGATCCTCATTGGGGGCCTCATACATTCGGCCTTGTATCACATCTAACCTATGCTTAGAAAAGGGAACTTCGACGTGGTGTAGTGGCTAGCAAGCTCGTCTCGCTAGTGAGTTCGATCCTCAATGGGCGCTTCATACTTTTCGCCTTGTGCTACATCTAAGCTAAGATTGGAAAATCACCATTACGTCTAAATTAAATCCAAGTGTTTAGGTTAGAATGGGAAATCTAATCAATATTGGAAAGTGTAGTAAAAGCTACTGGACTTCGGAAACCTGTTTCCCTGAAAAATTGTTTTAAGAGAAAGATTTTATGAATTTCTTTGCGGTCGTAGTAATGGCGGAGCGGCCGAGGAATGTCGAATGTTTCCTTATAAGGAAATGGCTAATATTACCATTACCATTAGTTCATATCTAGTTTATAAGTGTCTAAGTGTTAACTTAGACATTCAAAATTTTATTAGGAGTTAACTATCTGTCTCGTTTAATATATACGGGTAAGTTGAACACATAGATTAATCTTTTTTTTTTTTTTTTTTGATAAATTACCCAGTGTTTTCAATGCTCCACAAGACATTTCACACATTTCATAAAATCATTCCACCAGAAAATAAAGTATCTCCTTTTCCTTCATTATTTTTCAGCAAGAAATTTAAGGCTTTCACTTCATGCAAATTTTGGGTAGACTTTCGTGTGCGTGTATACAGATTTCCTCTCCATCGTTTCCTCTTTTTAAAAACTTATTCACCGTTTATTAATGATTCTTGAATGGACTTTGAAAATGGAAGCCAGTGTATGAATGTTCGTGCCATTACTGAAGGCCTGAATGATCTTTTTCCTCGCACCATTACTCAGCTGGGAAAATATAGTGGGGCTGAGACAAAATGACTTTAACCTGTTCTCTTTCTAGCTGAATAACTCAAAGGGTTTTTCAATGATTCTTACGGCAAATAATGTCAAGATGGTTAAACGCCTTATCTGAAAACCTGGAAAAAGAAATGCAATCAGCTTAACGGTTTTTTTTTTTTTAGATATTAAACATTTTTAAAGAAACAAGACGTCTACTCAAATATGGGTATCCACTAAATTAACGTTTAAAGTGATAATATCTTACTCTCTCTCTATATATATATAGAGATAGGCGCGCTACTTAGAAAGTGCTCAATGCACACACACACACACACACACACACACACATATATATATATATATATATATATATATATATATATATATATATATATATATTAATGGGTACTTCGTATTTGAAATCGACTCCCAATTTTAATTTATTAAACACTTTATTGTGTCTATCGGCCTGCGCATTCAAAGAAAAAATGTTCTCTGGTAGGGATTGAACCCTTTTAGGAGAAACTGTCGCTTAATCAGGCGTGCTTTACCGTTGAGCACTTCCCCTTAAGCAAGACTCTATCACCTTCTTCATCCAGATTATTTTTCTCGGAAGCCCATAAGTGCCCAGTTCCGTATTTCAAACGAAATCAAAGCAATTAATACAAAAAAAAAAAAAATGGATTTATTTTTAATCCAACATTTATATTACTTCAAACGTTATTATAGAGGACACTTCGTAATTGAAGTGGAGGCCCTATTTTATTTTTATTTAATCTAGATTCTTCAGAAAAAATTTTATTTTTATTTTGTCTAGATTCTTCAGAAAAAATTTTATTTTTATTTTGTCTAGATTCTTCAGAAAAAAATTTATTTTTATTTTGTCTAGATTCTTCAGAAAAAAATTTATTTTTTATTTTGTCTAGATTCTTCAGAAAAAATTTATTTTTATTTTGTCTAGATTCTTCAGAAAAAAATTTATTTTTATTTTTGTTCTTCAGAAAAAAAAATATTTTCTAGAAAAATTTTATTTTTATTTTTTGATTCTTCATTTTTATTTTTATTTTGTCTAGATTCTTCAAAAAAAAATTTTTTTTATTTTGTCTAGATTCTTCAGAAAAAAATTTATTTTTTTTAGTCTAGATTCTTCAGAAAAAAATTTATTTTTATTTAATCTAGATTCTTCAGAAAAAAATTTATTTTTATTTAATCTAGATTCTTCAGAAAAAAAAAATATTTTTATTTAATCTAGATTCTTCAGAAAAAATTTTATTTTTATTCAGTCTAGATTCTTCAGAAAAAGGTCGTTAAAAATTGTAGACACGTTTGTTTCTTAGTCATTATAAAATTGAACTTTTTAATATTTATTATAAAACTCGTATACCCGTGCTGTCAAAAGTTATGGCAATTGTTAGAAAGATTTAAGAGATCGGAAGATATGGACCGCCTAATCTTGAAAGAACACGGTACATAGAAGAACGTTTATCTACCGGATCAAAAAATAGTTTCCCATATAAAACGGGAAGCAGGTTCGATCCTTTTATGGCGGGCTTTATGGGTGGTGAACAAAGACAAAACGTGCTCGAGCAGGCGTCTGCAAAAGAAACTGGTTAGCTATCCTAACAGACGGGTTTGTTCGGAAACGGGTAGCCGGCCATTTTATATATATATACAGAGTGCAATGGATAATTTAACGTATATATTACGCAAAAATGAAAATAACACTGATATCTAATTTTAACAGATATATTTAATAAAATTATACAAAAATATCTTGAAATAATTGGTGAATGCTGTCATAATTCTTGCCCTCAGTTCATCTTTGTTACAAAGTGTTTTGTTGGTCTCTTGCTCAACTGAGCCCCTACACATAATAATTAAGTGGTACAGTCTGGGGAGTTCGGTGGAAAGATGTAAGGGGTAATGTGGTCGCAGAATTTGTCTGACAGCCATGACTGGGTTCTCTGGCTTGTGTGGCATGTTACAGACATAGCGTCTTCCAGCAGCCACCCTCTTGACCCAGGTCAGTACTAACTCCTCAAGGCACTTGATAAAGGCCCCCGTATTGAGTCTGAGGCCCTCACTAAAAAATTCTGGAGTTTTTTTCTTATCAGAACGATCAGAGTGAGTTTTCTGAGCTACCAAACCTTCGTAATCACCATTAGATTCAACCAACTCTTTCCCAATTCTCTGGACTCTCTTCAATTTGACACACAAACACTCTGAAATGTTCGTATTGGAGCTTCTGATGCAAATGCCAAGCAGTACAGCGTGTCGTTTCCAAATTGGCGGAGTGAATTGCAGCATAATGCTCTTTTTCTCCCAGACGTTGCCCAACTGACCCTACTATACCATGCACTCGACAAAACAAACAACGCACATGCGCGAAATTAGAAATACAAATTGGGGTTATCTTCTGTCTTTTTAATTCCTGTTCTTTTATTGATCTCTCTCCTTAATAATGTTATCTTTCCTCATATTATCTCACACTCACCAACTCTTGCGTCAGGTCAGAGTGTATTTATTGCCTTGCTTGGGGTTAAATGGTATATATATACATATTGTCATTTATGACTGGGTTCTCCTGCTTGCGGGGCATCCATAGACAAACTGTTTCGCTGTTTTACAGCTCATCAGTGTGGCTAGACATCCAAATGACTCAAGCCGGGATCGAAACCCGAATGATTGTTTACCCCTAAGTCATTGGCACACGACAAGGTTAATTTGGGTGCATTTTTAGACAAACACGTCAGTGACTAGGGAACTCTATTCGTCTTAACGAAGAGCCTTGCATCAGCAGCTGTAATAGTCACTGTTTTCTCCCCAAAGAGCTAAACCGAAATATTTTTCAGGAGCTCAACCGAAATAATTTTTTCAGGAGCATATATATATATATATATATATATATATATATATATATATATATATGTGTGTGTGTGTGTGTGTGTGTGTGTGTGTGTGTGTGTGTCTTTGTGCGTAATCTTCTTCTATGTACCGTGTTCTTTCAGGATTAGGTGGTCCATAACTTTCGATCCCTTAAATCTTTCTAACAATTGCCATAATTTTTGACGGCACGGGTATACGAGTTTTATAATAAATATTAAAAAGATCAATTTTATAATGACTATGAAACAAACGTGTCTACAATTTTTAACGACCTTTTTCTGAAGAATCTAGATTAAATGAATTTCCTTTAAATGTAAAGATCGCGTAGATTTCTTTCTAAATCATTATATCTTTTTTTTCCTTGATTCTGAGAGCCATTTGATAAAGTTCGACGCAAGGAACTGCTTGAACTGCTAGGTAAACTTAAATT